CCCCAAAACCCCAAAACCCCAAAACCCCAAGAGTAAAATCTCATTTGAATCTGAGAATTACGGATTAATAATTTAACTAACTTGGTTAAGAACACCACATAAAATAATAGCAAAGGCATATTAGAGTATAATTTTGACGTAATTAAACGATCTCAGAATATATATCTGTAGTTAACTTAACATATTAAGATTAATTCCATAAGATATTATACTTTTCTCAATTGTAAATGTTGTTATTTCTATTGTTTGCTTCCTTGAGGACATCCTTGAAAGCTGGAGATCTGTGGATTTCATCCATATTGAAGTTATTAACCTGGAGGATATCTCTCACTATTGGAGTGAAGCCTTAAAGGGTCTCACTGGTCACATAATGACTATCAATGATAGTCACGAATTGGGCTGCTGAGATACCATTAAGTTCTGCATGAATGAGAAGTGCAGCATTTAATCCACCAACGAGGTTGAGAACACCAGCTGGCTAGAGACTCTGAGTGAAAGTATTCAAAGCAGCGTCATTCTTACTATGAGTTGTCTTATAAAATCTGATTGGGAAGCTTGATCCAACGTTCTCCATATATCCAGTATCAGTCGTTGAGTAATTAGTCTTGTAAACAGTGTCGAGAACTACGATTCTTTGGATCTAAGCACCCTCACTTGAGAGTTAACCAAATAATTAATCTACTAACTGATTCACAAACACTGACTTCAGCCCTTCTTATGGATGTAATACCATCAACTGATGCTCTGCAGTGTAGAAAATCTTTAATGCCTCTGATTTTTTCTCATGATAAGTGGCTTCAACCTTGCCAATCTCTAAGAGTTTTCCATGTAAAACGATCTTTGTGAGAGCTTGAGGATGGCCTTGAGGTGCTAAGACAATGTTTTTAAGTTGCTGGGGCACTGGAGTGCTGAATGTGATTGAAAGCTCAAACTTCTCCTTCTCCTCTTCTTGCTTTTCTCTCTCATCTTCGGAGTCGACTAGCTCCTCATCATTGATAATGTCGTTTACTTCTTCGTCTAAAGATTACATATTTCTTGGTTAAGTTTTACTTTTAAAAGTTTATAATTTATTTTTAACTTTGAAAATTATCAGATTAGCAAATTTAATTCTTTAACCAAGTTTTCATTAGGATGATTGAAGGGGTTTTGGGGTTTTGGGG